CGGAAAGGCAACAATCTTTAGACCATGCAGTCTAGTCAAGTACACAGATATCGTTGAGGAGTAGTCTTCTTTTGTATTTTTTAATTTATATGGCAACCTTAGTAACTGTTATAATCATATGATACATACTCTGTTATTGTGTAGTCAGAACACTCTGTTGCTTATCAATCTATGATTTATGTTTTGTCTTGTTTTAACACGCATCATTATATATAGACTTGCAAAATGAGATGGATAGTGTGAAATTTCGTATACTATTTCGCGACTATCAAATATTATAATGCACAAATTAATCAAAAACCACATTACTTACCGAATCAATTGTATAATTTAAAACTTTAAATTTATGTTGACACAATTAGTCAAATAGCGAAATGTGAGCAACACACAGATGTAAATTAATTTTCAAAGAGTACCGCTTCTGCACCCATCATCTTGAATGTTTGACAACCAACTAAATGATGTGCAGCGTCTTCACCGCACAATAGTGAAATACAGCGTATGTTTGGAACGCCCACAGACCACATAAACTTCCGTGGGAACGCCGCGTCTAGTACGCTAGTACATATACATATATCGTTGGTTTTAAATTATTATTTTTTAAACCAAGACGCCATCACTTACAACAATTCCATTTAAACAAGCCTCGTGTGCATACGTAACGACTATCACAATTTCACAAGCACATGCATCAAGTCACAGCTGTTGCTTTTACACTAGAATGCACTAGCACATAATAGAACAGTCTGGAACATTCTAGATGCGGTGTAGATATAACATAACCGCTTGACACGGGTAAATGTATACGTGAGTTATGGAGTGGCGTCGCGAGATACGAGATGGAACTGGGAATATTTTAGTAAGTTTATTAGAAGGTGTAATATGGTTTAACTGAATGAGAAAATAGGAAATTTTTTGACTGTTCCTAAAAATCGGAAGTTTTGTTTACAAATGTGAGTCTTTACTTGGGTAAAAAAAGGATGCCGCCCGCATTTTGTATTTGTTTTCTCATATGTTTTTTTAATTGAAAATTGATAATGTATATATGTATGTATGTAAATAATGTATTTGGTGTTTAAATAAAATCGACCAAAAGAAACCAACGTTCGGGCTCTTGGTGCAATTACAGGCACTTGGGACTTGTCAACTTATCTTCCATGATGACTGGCGCAGTGGCGGTGCCCGCAAAGATCTAAGATCTTTGCGATGTAAATGTCTGAGTGGTACTGCAACTGTCATGGATAGGTGTGTCGCTTGTCGTCACTTGGTATGTTAAAAACAAAGCTTTACATGTTTCATGGTCACGGAGTGAGATGCTAAATCAATCAACCAGTTATGTCTAATGTTAACGCAAACCACCTTGAACTATAGTTACAAAAGTTGTTAACTTAAATACCTTTTTTTAATAGTTACGGCTAAGTCGAGACGTTGATTTGTTTGGAAAGAATGTGCAATTTTAGATCCGAAATAATTCTTCCATATGTAGCAATCGCGAAAACTAAAAAAAAAACTCCATATGTGTTGCGTTGGTTATAACCTCAGTTAGTAGTATTAGCACTTTAAACTAAAAAAATACGGTTGGTTCGTTCCATGGATTAGTTGGCATAGCGTCTAGCAGGGTCTTATGGAAGACCGAAAAAAAAGACGCTGGTTCGAAACAAGTCGGATCGAAGGAATTTTTTTCTTAGTGTTCGAGCTTTACATTAATAATTGTAACAATAAAGTAGTGGAGTTTTTCACAAAAATAATTTCAATACCATGGTGACATTAAATAAAAACTTAAAAATTAAAAAATATGATTATGAAGGATAAAGATTGAGTCGATCACCGGCCAAAAGTAAGCTGCAGAGCTTTGGGCGGTCCAAATAGTAATTTATTTATTTATTTAAAGATACACTATCAACTTAACACAAAACAATATAAAAAAAAAATACACACAGGTTCACTGTACAAGGTGCCAAGTCACTACAGGTGTATACATCACTAAAAATCTAATGTTAACCAATGAGATGCTAAAGAAAATATATAATTAGAAATATAAAATTACAGTAATAATTAGTTTACAGTTACAAGTTTCATAAGTTCAAACAAATTGCTTGCACATACGAAGAAACTGCTTAGTATTTTTTATATTAAAGATATATATGTCGCCGTCTCCTGTCGTAAGTAAGTCATTGTATGACTGCATGAGTCTGTTCAAGGGGGCATACTTTCCAAGATTAGTCCTGCCACTAGACAAAACAAATGTTCTGACTATGGGGTACCTAGGCACTTTACGAGGAACGTTAAAATTAGTGAGGGCAAGAGCCTCTGGCGACGACATACCTCCATGCACTATCTTATGCAAAACTCCAATATCGATGATTCTGCGTCTGGTCTCAAGAGACAGCATTTTCAAATTGTGTAGGCGAGTATTATATTCAGCACGATAGGGACAGTCGGGGTCTTTATATGCTAGAAAACGAGTAAAGTTACGTTGTATCCTTTCAATTCGTTCACAATGGATTTTATAATGTGGATTCCAAATTGGGGATGCATATTCCAAGGTACTACGTATCAAAGTGTTATATAAAGCGAGTATGGCAGCCGGACTCCTGAAGTCCCTGCAAGAGCGTTTGACGAAACCCACCATCTTCCAAGCCTATAATATGATACTATTAATATGGTCCGTGAAATTTAACTTGCTGTCAAACATGACCCCAAGATCACGGACACAAGAGTGTTCAGTTAGACATACACCGTCCACTTTATACTCTGACTGGACAAAATTCTTATTTCTAGTAAACTTAATGTGAAAGCAATTAGATGCATTTAAATTCATTTTATTAAGTTTACACCAATCGTGAATAGAATCCAGATCCAACTGTAGAAGGTTAACATCGCTCTGGGTTTTTATGCTTTTGTATAGTTTAACGTCGTCGGCAAACATGGAACACTTACTAGTTTTGATTCGGTCGGAAATATCATTTATGAAGGCCAAGAAAAACCGATTTGGACCGAGATGGGAGCCCTGGGGCACTCCAGAAGTAGGCTCGAAAGAGGAAGACTTAAAAGCACCGTTACACGTTGTTGTCTGTGTTTTAGATAAGAACTAAGCCAATTGAGCAGTTTGCCATGAATGCCATAGGATTCAAGTTTCGACAGCAATAAGTTATGGTTAACACAATCAAATGCGCTGCTAAAATCGGTATATATTGAATCAATTTGAATTCTTTTATCAACGGAATTGGTAAGGTCTGTAGCATAATTTAGAAGGTTACTAACAGTTGATTTATTTTTCCGGAACCCGTGCTGAAAATTGGATAAAACTTTTTCGAGATGATTTGTAATGACAGGACAAACAATCTTTTCAAATATTTTAGGTATCACACTCAAAATGGATATCGGTCGGTAGTTTTTTATATTACGTTTATCGCCCTTCTTGTGTATAGGTACAATGTTAGCAGTCTTCCATTTCGATGGGAATATTGAAGTATCTATTGATTTATTAAATAATATCATTATGGGTAATGCCAACTGCTCATATGTCATTTTAACAAAAAATGGTGGTATGCCGTCGGGACCAGCACCTTTGCTTGCATCAACAGATTTTAAGAGTTTCGCTACCGTACGTTCACAGATCGAGACACGATTTAGCATGAATTGCGGAAACCTATCATGGCCAGAGATTTGCCCTACCCCATCGGAAGAGGAAAAAACAGAGGAAAACTGCGTGGCGAAAAGGTTACAGACTTCATTGCCAGTACAAGCTGTTCTATCATCGAGAAATATCTCAGCAGGCCAATCCGTATCAGCACCCCGTCTCTGCTTTACAAATGTCCAGAATTTCTTAGGGTTCTTTTTGATAGCTTCCTCAGTGTCTTGAATGTAGTCAGTATAACATGAGGAAATCAGAGATTTTACTCGTTTGTTAGACAACTTTAACTCTGTAAGATCCCTAGGATTATTATATTTATTACATTTTGCACAAATTTTTTCTCTTTCAGATATTAAAGCGATTAGTGATCTCGTAAACCATATTGGGTGTTTGAGAGAGCGACGTTTCGTTTTAGGAATAGTTGATTCGATGACGGAAAACAGTAACTTGTAAAATCTGGAAACAGCGACATTGACATCATTACAGCAGGATAATTCAGAATCCCAATCAATTTTATTCAAAGCAGTTTTCACCAGATTATAATTTGCTTTCTTAAAGTTATGAGTCGCAAATTGTTTACTAGCCATATTAGATTGCGACTGTAATTCCATAGTAATTTCGAGAGCAGGATGATGTGGATCGAGCTTGCAAAGCGGATTATCGCATCTTACAACCTGTACACCTCCGATATTGCTCAATATCAAATCCAAGATTCTGTCGTTATGGTTCTTCACATTGTTATATTGCGACAAATTATTAAGTGACATAAAATCAACAAAAGTATATCCTAAGTTACCGCTATAGTTTGAAGGTGTTAATTTAATACAGTTTTCAATATCAAATTCCCAATCTATAAAACCTAGATTAAAATCTCCCACAAAAACTACATTGCCAGTATGGGATTGCATTACGATATTACAGTTCTCAATCACCGAATTCAGAGCAGCAGTAGTCACAGGAGGAGGCAAGTAAAGGGCACATAACAAAATTTCTTTTACTGTTGAATCACAGTTATGATATTTCACAGCGACCCACAGATCTTCGTTGCTGCTCTCAAAATGCTGGACTCTCCTAGACTGTAGATTATGTGAAACAGCAATTAGAACACCACCCCCAGATTTACTAAGGGAGGACGTAGTATAACGGTCTCTTCTATAAACATGATAGTTGCCAGCAAACAGTTCGCCGTCGAGCAGACCATCGTCCAACCATGTTTCAGAACCAATAATGACATCGTAGCATGTAGAAAGTACAGCCAATTGAAAATCTTTAGTTTTGGTTTTGAGTTCTCGGAAATTTTGATAATAAATGTTGAACGTAACGATCTACCATTGGGTCTTCTTAAGGACCTGAGAGCTCAGACTTACAGGTTATTCAGGTTTTCATACGACTTGATTTGTTTAGCAGGAGACTGATCATTTTTCCGAACGAAGATACGGCCGTTGCGAATCCATACGTATTTATAATCCTTATCTCGGGCAACATGTCTCGTACGAGTGTGAAGTGCTTTGTAATATGGAGCCAGGTGTTCTGATACAAATATCGGCGACTTTTTTCCACCATAGCCGAGGTGTCCAGAGTGAAGCTTTTCAGATGGAGTTGCTTTATTAAATTTGGCAACAGCAGCCAGGATTTCGTCACGTATTGCAGTGCCAGGGAGCTTCACTACAATAGCGCGTGGCCTTTGACTGTAATCATCCATCTTCCGAACCCGCGTGCAAGACAGAATATTAGTATCAGCAATGGGCCTTGAAACCGCAGAACTTAATTGCTTAAATACGGAGACAAGATTTTCAGACTTGTGCTCGGGGATTCCATTTATTTCGACATTTGTTTCACGTGCGTGTTGCACGAGTAGATTCAGTCTACCAGAAAGTTCATCTACCTTGCTTTTTAGAGTAGTATTGTCTTTGGATAAGTTTCTGATTTTTTCCTCCGACGACTGAATGTCCGACTTCATACGATCATATTCGCTGCTTAAGAAATCGATACTGGTTTTAAGGTCCTGCAAAATACGCAACTCATCTTTGATGGCAGAGATATCCGAGCCGAGTGCCAACTCCACTGCCGACCTCAATGAACCGCGAATCGAGGACTGTATTTCCGATCTAATCACGCTCAGTAGCTCCGGCTCAATAGAAAGAGATGACTGGTTGGAGCTTAATTTTTTTCGTTGTGTCACATTGTCAAAAGCGTCACTGTCCATATAATAGTCAGCAGAGACGCCTGCCTCGCTACAAGTGCGCTGCTCGAGAGTTTTCGGCTGTATAGGGGTGTTGGTATTGTCGCCTTTCTTTACTTTAACGCGACAACCTGGACAGGACCACTTGGATTTAAGTTCCTTATCCATTGAATTAAAGTGCTGTCGAGTAATGTTAGCACATGCAAGGTCATAAGTGTCATTGCAAAGACAACATGACAAAAAATTCTTGTCTGATAGCTTATGCAAGCATCCAGCACACTGTCTTAATTTTGTGGACATAATCTCTTAGTTAAAGAAAACAACCAAAAACGAAAAATATTTACAAGTTGGCAACACTAAATGTCTAGTGTCAACTATCGAGGCGACGTGTGGCGGCAACTATAATGTCAGTTGAAGTTGACAGTAATCATTTGACATGACATTAAATATCGCCAAAGTATCGCTATAGTATCGTTTTATTATTGGTACCAGGTTGAGTGTAATGCGCTATTTCGTCACGTCGGACCCGAGCGCAGTAGCTGTGCGGCCAACACAGTGGACCTCTGTTACGACGACCGTGGGTTCAAATCCAAGCAAGGCCAAGCGCCGTCGTGAAAGTTGTTTAGCTATTTATTTCTTGATTCCAGTCCAATAGGTGGAGCAGGCGACACACAACTGGCAGGCGACAGTGTGACAGGCGTCAGAGGGCGACTGACAGGTGTCAATGGAGGTGAACCACAGCAGCGCAAGTGCGGGTGAAACAGGTATGCCCAATCCAATATGGAGTCCCCCGCAAATGGTGTTCAGCGTTAGAAGGTAAGAGAGGGCCCGAGCCTCAACGCAGATTGGAAGCCACCTACTTGAAATTGCAGCCGAAGCACCCGCAGCGGATTCAAGATGGCGCCGTCGATGAATGGGTCCTCTTGCAAGATGAAACGAGAGGGACCGAGTTTGTCTGATTTATGAAACTGCAGCGATATGTTGGTTAAGAGAAGCGAATAGATAAATAAATATATCAAAAATAACGTATGGCACCTGCAGACACGTCCGCCAACGATGGTTACTGATATTGATCTGTAATCAGCGGATGTTAGAAATTTTGATTCAATGTTTTGTTGTGACAAATTTTTGTCCTATTTAGAGATTCGATCACTGCTAGGGCTTCGAAGAATGGTGTCCGTCATTGTGCGAGTTAAATGAAAATTGAACAGAGGATGTTTGACCTGACGAAGAACGTAACGTGATATTGCCAGAAATATAACATGGAATTTTGAACGAATAGAGGAGGGTTTATTATGCATGCGATGTCATATCTTTAAAAGTAAAAGTGAATCTGCATTTTTACGTTGAGTTTTCGAAATACGTCTGTGGCCGAACGGTTGCCATGCTGGACTACCACGCAAGTCCCGGGTTCTATTCCCGGGCTGCGAAAAATATTTGCATGGCCTACATTTATTTGTTTTGTGAGTATGAGTGTAATTTGTGGTTGTCCATGTGCGTGTCCATGGCAACCGCGATACAGGATTTACTCAGTGCAGCAGGGGATATGTTAAAAAAAAATGAAGTTGGAGAGTAATTTTAAAGTAAAAAAATGTTCCATTTTGCATCTTACTTTCTCTAGTGTTTCCTCACACTTAAAACATATATTTTGCTACCGCAACTATACGTTAGTTGTAGTAAAGAAAGTATTACCATAATATCTCAATAGATTATGCTGAATAAAATGTTCATATTCATAAAGAGCTGTAGAACCCTTTATTACTAAAGTTTAAAAATCTTACGTCGTCCAACTTCGAGGCGTTCGCTTACTTAACTTGGCTGATAGTTGCAGATTTACCGACGTGGACGGTCCATTAAAGTGCATAATCCTTTAATATTTGTTTTGTAAGATATTGTAACAAAACTTTAAAACACACTTTTTCCGTTTTTTCCGAAAAATCTTGACGTGAAAATGTTTACGAAAATAGTGTGCAGTTTACATGACTCAACTCGGAAACATTATGTGTATTTGGGGCGATCTACGGGAATTCGTCCAGTGGAGCGTTCGAGATGTCGCTGGATGGGAGGATGGAATCGCCAAAGACCTGACGGAGCTGAATGTCCCCGAAAGGTTGGAACTGGCACAAAACCGTAAGAGTTGGCATACTTTGGCGTTGGAGGCCAAGATCCACTTCGGGTCGCTGAGCAAGGGAAGTAAGTAAGTAAACATGTAAACATTATGAGCGAACGGGCGTATCGTAGAGATATCGAAGATTTTTGTGAAGTGTGAAATCTACTGGCTTAGGGCCAACTGAATTCTTTTAATTGAGGAAAACTTGCAGTACACTTACAGCTTTTCTGAAAAGTTTGTAAAGTATAATGACTTCCTTCGTAACTTGAATGACTTCCACCCTGTTTTGTGATGAAGCACATCGTCTTCAACACTGATACGACTTAAAACTGGCAAGTGTAGTTAAGTAAAATGTGATAGTTGCGTCTTGAAATAAAAATACACAACTGGTAATTTGTCAGTATGGGCGCAAGGGCAGTGCTCCTCAGATCTTTGTGATTTAAAGCACTGCCTGGTACTGCAACTATTATGGATTGGCACGTTACTTACCACCAGGTGGGCGACTTGTCCGTGACATTAGGAGTGATATTAGGCAAATTGAAACAGCATAATGTTATCAATTTATTATCATTTAAAAAAATAATAAAATAAAAGTCGTGGTAGCCTAAAAGGTCTGACCAACCGCCTCTCAAGCAGAGGGTCGTGAGTTTGTGAGGTTCGAATCTGGGTTTACACCCATGAGTTTTTCGGACTTTATGTGCGAAATTTAATTCAAAATTTACCACGAGTTTTCAATGAAAGGAAACATCGTGATGAAACTTACACACATCTGCAAATCAATGTGTGTGAGATTCCCAATCAGCCGTGGGTTTGGAAAACAGTCCAAGCCCAAGGGCTTGCCACTGCTGGGTGTATAATTAACTAACTAACTATTTATTATTATATTATATAGGACAAATTCAAATATCATTAAAAGTGATGTTTTTTATTATGACGCTGTTCAAGTGGGTGAATAATATGTACGTAATACGGGAGAGTGATTTGCAAGTACTTTATGGGTTTTTTGGTTATTGTATTTTTCGCTAAAAGCATTTAGAAATAGAGTATAAGAATATATTGTACCCTAAATACTCCTATTTATGAAATAAATCAAAATAAAATTTCGGTGCGAGTTAATAGAGCGTCACAAATTTTTATCAATATTGTTATGAATTTTGGTTAATGCTGATTATATAAAACGATATCCAAATGTATGAGAAGTCATTGTGTTATCACCACGGCTCACTTACTAATCGTGCGGCCATTGAGTGGACTATATTTGCAAAAATTGTCAATGCAATGAAAAGCGCTCAAAACAATGAAAAGAAGCAAATAACGCATACGCGAGCAGTCAGTAAATTTTAAACTCATGATTGCTCCATACTGGCGATAATCCATCATTGAGATAGGGGAACAAAAAGTGATTTATTGCCGATCCTCGTTAACGATTTAACTTTTAAACAACCACTGGCATACGTTCGTGGGTTTGTCTGGCCGTTATTGGTCTAGTTTGTTAAGTTTAAACATGCATTTGCTTTGTTTGTATGATAAATTAAGTAATTACGGTGGATGTTTACGGTTTTTAATTTTTATACTATTTTTTATGATATCAAGCAACGGGGCGAATAAATCGTGCACATGAAACATCAGGAAAGCAGAATAAACCTACGGAAGATTCAACGTGCATAGTGGAATACCCTCGTACACGCCTCCCGTACCACAGGGGTGATGTGCTTTACGATTTCATCCTATCCAATTACCACTACTTACTAATTACTTAATAATGACTAGGTTAAATTAAAAAATTTAAATTTTCTTGTACCAGACCAGCTGAATTCATATCCGGCTTTTTATTGTACTAAGTGACGGACGAACAAGTTATGCGCTTGGCGCTTGGTGGTAAGCGACACCCCTGTCCATAGCAGTTTCAGTGCCACTGAGAGTTCTCATTCTACGTTAGTAACATGGGCGCTTGGTGAGGAGGTATCGGGTTCCATTCCTGGTGGAATCAATTTAGTAATGGATGTTTACCAAATTAGTTCCGGTCAGGGTGTTCTGATTCACTAATCAGATCACTAACCCTGGAGTAACTAAGACCACCGTCCTGGAGATATAACCGCCTGGATTCATGAAATAGTGTTGTTGTATTTTATTGTTGTTGTAGTATTTATGTTACATAAAGTATTATATAGTTTTTATGTATTTGCGATTAAAACACATTGGAAATGAAACTATTGTGCAGATCTAAATTTAAATCTTTGCCATCTAATTCAAACGCGACCACGGGATTTTTAAAGAACCGGAACAAAGGTGGGCAGTGGGTAAAAACTGAAACAATCCGCCCGGGTTAATACCCGAAGCGCTAGCTTTTTTCCCATTTCTGCCCAAGTTAGTGGACGGAAACGTAAAATACGGAATTTGGTATATTACCTACATACTTATTTACGGTTAAAACCCGGGCGCTTGCGTTGGTTTGTTTGAAAAACAATTACACGCTATTTGGATCCGAAACAAGTTTCATTTCCAATATGTCCAATATACTCATATAGAAACATATCACGGAGGAAGATGGAGATTACGAAACGTCATATCTTATGAACAGATTGATACATTAGGCACGAGTTGCTTTTACATTGGTTTGGCATAATTCAAGGTTCTGATACTTAGGTAGTTGTATATGTACATATTTATAACTACTATCGATGTGAATGAGTCGATGGACAAACATCCAGACTGATCGTTAATCCATTATTCGGATTATCGAACATCATCGTCGCTATTGTAACATGTTATAATTTATCCGCCAGGACTGCCGAATGAAATGCTCTCTTTGGAGCTGCTTTGTTTGGTACTGTTTGCGATTTTAGTTTAGAGCCGTTTGTTGCGGGTTGTCTCATTAATAGACTGGTTTGATTCAACTACAGTCTGTCGTTTTTGAAGACGGAGTAAAATTACATTTCAAGGGTTGCTAGTTTTCAAAAAAATTTAAATAGTTATGTAGTTGTTCTCAATGGATTTATCGATAGATAGTGAAAGAAGACAAACATTTGCTAAAAATGTCTGAATTGTGAATGTTATG